CTGTTCCTCTTCACAAATCCACTACACCTTTCCTTAACCACTCTGTCCCTCCCGTTCCTCCTCCCGCTTCCTCCTCCTCCCCCTCCCCCCCCTTGACCTCTACTATTCGTCCTCACAAATCCTCTACACCCTTTGTCAACCACTCCAGTCCTCCCTCCCGCTCCTCCTCCTCCTCTCCTCCTCCTCCTCCTCCTCCCGCCTCCTCCTCCCAGTCCTTCTCTCCCTTGGCTCACTCTTCTGCCCCTCCTCACTGTCTTCGAACTTTTGCTGAACAAAACTCACACTTCACCCATCCACTCACACTTTCTCCATCGTGGATTAATCCCCTCCCTCTCTCCTCGGTCTCGTTTCCCCCTATTCTTCGCTATGATTCCCTGAACGCTCATGGAGCTCTCCTCCCTTGGCTTGTCATCAGCGACCGTAACAACCAACGTGAGCCTCTGAATTAATCCTCCCACGCTCTGCCGATGAACCCCACGTGAGCCTCTGAATAATCCCCCCACTCGAATTCTTGCAAGTCTGATGGCCCCTCGCACAGACAACAAAAGACCGTAGCAAACAACAAGAGCAGAGGCAGAATAAAGAGTTAAATCCACCATGTTACGGCTTGATGAGGATGAGGAAGGGGGGAGGGGGGGCGGGGGGGGGAGGGGGGGGGGGGCGCGCGAGAGGGCAGCCGGGATTAGGAATGGGCGGGGATCAAATGCCTACTGATATGCCCCTATGAATCTTCATCCTTCTCTTTCTCCGATTACGTAACAATTTGGGCCATCCTTCTTTTTTTTTCTCCAATTATTTTTAAAAATTTGGTCCCTGTTATGGACTCGTGTGTGTCATCAGTCCGCAGGGGGGTAAACCAATCTTTTTCTGTATGGGTCCAATTTTAATGGATGTCCCGAAAAGCATCTGGACAGGATTACAGACAAGGTACATTTGCGCTATGGATCGGTTGAGAGATCTGTGGATAAGACGTGCTTCACCCTTCTCTCATCCCCATAGACAAGCCCCAAACAATGTCAAAGTTCCAGCTTTCAACATTTATAGCCGTTTGTGTTCGCATCCTCCACATCTCATTGCCAATTGGGGTAGTATATGCAATACATACATGCAAAGGAGGAGCTGGATGCATTTACACAAGTGGACCGAAGTGGTTGCGTCTCTCTCTCTCTCTCTCTCTCTCTCTCTCTCTCTCTCTCTCTCTCTCTCTCTCTCTCTCTCTCTCTCTCTCTCTCTCTCTCTCT